TCTCTCTCTCTCTCTCTCTCTCTCTCTCTCTCTCTCTCTCTCTCTCCCCTGGCCCCGGGCAGCGTATTCATGATATCGAAATTATACACCGTTTCATAAAGATATTCATTACTCGCTGCCTTTTTCCTCGCGTAATTTATTTTCCTCTCACTCTCTCTCTCCCTCTCCCGCTCCCGCCCCCCGCGGCCGCTGTGTACCCCGCGCAGCTCCCCCGTCGCGCGACTGACTTTATATAAAAATAATAATAAATACTGACCACTCGCTCCCCTTGGGGGAGGCGGGGGTGCCCCACGCCGCGCACCGCGCAGCTCTCAGCAGCGCCGCGCCTTATTTTTCTTGAGTCCCGAGAGCAATATTTATTCTCCCGGCCGTCAATATGACTGGGTGGCCCTGCCTCGCCCCCGGCCGGCCTTCCGTCCGGCGGGGGAGAGTAGGGGATGAAATGAACTGGCATAGGCCAACACGTCGCCGTGCGCCGTGCAACGAACATGTACACTCGGCGAACAGGACCTTGTCACTTTGGGGTCCATCCCGCTGAGAGGGAGTGCGAGGGGGAGGGGGGTCATCCTTCGCCCGCACTGCACCTCCCCCCCCCCCTCCCATATAATTTGTAATGGGATTTCAAAACGAAAGTAATGTGTGTCATCTTTCATGCCCAACAGGAATCTTTCTGGTGATCCTGATCGTCATGTCCATCGCCGGCAACGTTCTGGTGTGCGTGGCCATCTACACGGATCGCGGGCTGCGCAGTATCGGCAACCTGTTCCTGGCCTCGCTCGCCATCGCCGACCTGTTCGTCGCCGCGCTCGTCATGTCGTTCGCCGCCTTCAACGACCTGCTCGGGTACTGGATGTTCGGGCCGCAGCTCTGCGACACGTGGATCGCCTTCGACGTCATGTGCTCCACGGCCTCCATCCTCAACCTGTGCGCCATCAGCCTGGACCGTTATATCCACATCAAGGACCCGCTCAGGTACTAAAGCCTAGTTCACTGTATATAAAAGTCGGAATTTTCCCATACCAAAACCTGTCTGAATAGTTCGTAAACATTGATGATCCAAAACACTGTTGGAAAACTAAATGTCCAGTCCTTTTGGGGAAATTTAAACTCACCATGTTACACCAGAACTAGGTTTAAGAACAACAAAAATGAAAATTCGTAAATAAATTTAGTAAAGCCAGTCAAAAGTTGACGAGACTTTGCCAAAAGATTTGCAACATCCAAATAGTTTGGAAAATTAGGTTTCCGAAATGTTTGAATTTCAAGTTTTCCAAACTGGTCTAGGTACAAATTTTCCAGTTAATTAATCAGCAATATGTATTACAACATAACTTTTTACAGTGTTGGCTGTATCTTAAAAAGACACCTTTCTGTGAGAGTGACAAAACTATTTCATGCCTTTGAATATTGATAGTATCTCGGCAAATTTACAAAAAGGGCCAACTATGTAAAACTCTTTCTTCTGAATCCGAAACCTTACAGAAATAATGTTTGCCTCAGGTACGGGCGGTGGGTGACGAGGCGCATCGCCATGGCCTCCATCGGCTGCGTGTGGATCATGGCGGGGCTCATCTCGTTCCTGCCCATCAGCCTGGGCGTGCACCGGCCCGACGAGCCGCAGCCCGTGGTGGACGGCAAGCCCACCTGCGCCGTCGAGTTTGCGCCGACCTACGCTGTCGTGTCGTCATGCATCAGGTGAGACACTGACTGTCTCCTCTCCTGCTGGGTAGTGCGCTCCGCTCGCTGTAGCGCGTATTTGCGCCGATGGCGGGCCGTTGTTTGGTTCCTCGGAAACAAACAATCCATCTTGCTTATTGTGAGAATACTTGAATACCTCGTGCGCTGGATCTGCTTGTGTAACGAACGCAAACCTCTGCTGCGAATCGCAAACGCAAACCAGTTACAGGAACAACATTGCACAGGTGGTTAAAAATGAAAAATAAAAGTATGCCAATAAGATCCAAGGGATTATGGCTAAAGATTGTAAGTGATTATGTGTCCGTGTAATGTTGTCGTTCATACGAATTGCACACCCCTCCTCGCCCGACCTAATGTATTGTTTCTTGCGCACTTTGCATATTTCGCCATTGCCATTCCTAAGGCAGCAATGTACCTAATAGTAGGCCTGTGAATTTGTCATGTCGCGCTTGATCAATATACATTGTGAAGGTTGTGAAGCCTTTGCTGGCGGCGGCTGCTACGTTCCACGCCCGACAGTGTACCCCGCACACGAGGGGGCTAGCAGCGTCCCGAAGGGGTTCGGGTGCGCGGCGCCGCCCTGCCCCCGCCTCGCGCTAGGCGCCGGAATGCAATAAGGGATCCTCAATAATCCACGCGGATAAATATCCAGCACCGCACGGCGGAGACCCGGACCAACACACACGGGGCCGACATTCATTCCCTGAGTCGTACGAGCGGGATAAAACGGATAATGGGGGAGAGGGAGAGAGAGAGAGAGAGAGAGAGAGAGAGAGAGAGAGAGAGAGAGAGAGAGAGACTAAGATGGGAGAGTGACGAGGACGAGGGGAGAGAGAGAGAGTAGGCGGGGGAGGGAAAAAAGAGAGACCGAGGCCATGTCGTCGACAGATCGCGCCGATTGTAGAGCAAAGTCACGCGTTTGCTCGGCGCTCCTTCTCGCCCGTCGCGGCTTTCTGTATCGACAGGGTAGAAAATTTATTTGCAGCAACAGGAAATTGAATGCAGTATTCTCGGTCGGTTGAGCTCACCCCTACCCTCGTGTTGTCGGCGGTCGGGTGGCGGCGCCGGGTCATGGGGACATCTTCCCCAACAAAAAGAGCAAAGCAAGCTTATGTGGGTGTATTTTGTGTGTTTATTTTTTGTATCATTATTTTTTCGCTTGCATGTAATCTAAAAACCCGCACCAGAAAGAGAGAGAGAGAGAGAGAGAGAGAGAGAGAGAGAGAGAGAGA